GACCAAATGTTGCAGTATTGAGCTGTTCAAGCTTCTCACTGTTCCTTTTCGAGGAGCGGCCGAAAATGTTCAGCCTTGTATTCTTCTACTAACTAACTAAACTGTATATGTAAATGCCTGAAACTAACAAAGGTGTTCAATTTGATCCGATCCAAACAAATGCAGGCACTCCGAGAGCGGCAAGAATTACAAGAACGTGTGGCCAGTTTGCAACGAACTTTGTGTGAAACGGAAGCGGCTAGAGATCAACTTCTACAGGCTAGTACCAATCTAGAAAAGGATCGACATTGTCTGCGAAGGCACTTGGAAAAAGTGGAAAAGGAAAAAATACAGCATGAGGAAATTCTCAGCAAGGGCAATTTGGATCGGACGGAACTGGAACTCACGCTGAGACGGCTTGAGGAAGAAAACGCCGATCAGAAGAGACAGGTGCACTATCTACAAGTAAGTTCATCAATTATAGTTTGGTAATGAGTTTCTGCTCTTCTCCTTCTTCAGGATTGTCCATTTTTGCGTGACTAGTGGTTGTTTTCTCTCATCCCATTTGAGTAATCAATTTGTGAAATCTTGTCCGTCCACAAAACACAACTAGAGTGATATAAAATCAAAGATAAGAGAAATGGGAGTGTCAGACGATTGAACAAATCAACTAATGTGATCATTAGGAATGAATTACAACACTAATGAACTTTGGCGTATATGCATAAAGACATTTTCGCACTTTCTTAATGTAGAAACCAAAAGTTGATAATGGTAATTCTAAGAAACAATATTGCAGATGAATAAATTTTATTGCCCTGAAATGAAAACAATCCGAACATTCAAGTGCATCTTTATGTTAGATGATCTCGTGGTGATAGAAAGGAAACAGTTTGGGTATTCATTCCTTCTTTTAAATAAAAATCGATTTAATTAAAAAAACATCGATCGGTTTTTCGTTATCTGTAAATGTAGTTGATTTAAAAAGAAGTCAGTGGCTATATGATCTTCTTCAACCTCATGGAAAATGCCAATGCTACTCATGAAAGTATTACACACACTTCCATTAGACTGATGAAGAGACGCAATGATGTATACGATCATTGGTGTTTTTTGGCTTTTGCAAACGGCGCATGAAAGTGCAGGGTTTATGGTAGTAAAAACTGAAATCGAAACTTTGAAACTATTCACGATACAAATGCGATGGAAATGTTTGTGATAACCAACAAAGAGCACTGAACAGCTGTTTCGTCCTGTTTGGAACGATACAGTTCCATTCTACGGGGTTGGTCACTACCGCTCGGATGACTATCTATCTGCTCGACCAATAAAGAAGGTAGTGAGATTGAACGAAAAACTAAGAGTTTTGCCAATATAGAGATACAGAATGCAATCCTTCTGTGTTTGTGTAAAAACAGATAAGAGGCACACCTGATATTGTTTATATAACACACTTATAACTCCATGTTGCATTGGTCATCGATTTTGGTGATCTCAAGGTGGGCATTCGGTAACCCTCAAGCGACCTATCTAATCACATTACCTGGTTAGATTTTGCGTCTCTCCCTATCAGGCCCGTTTGCCCACCCCTTGATACTGTTATACAGTCGAAGTGCCACGGCAAATAACCTGTTGAGCCAGTCTATAAGTGACATAGACAAAGCATTCCCAGCCACTTCAGTCCGCACACATCATCCCGAACTGAGAATGTTCATGAGAGCGATTCACTATTCACCTTTGCTAAATTTTTGCAGTGCTAGTTCGGTCGGTTGATATCATTCCTGCAATGCCACGTAGACAGTGAAATTCAACCATCGTAAAACGGTAACTGGGTTCTTACCGTAGTGCATACATTCTTACACCATGTAACGGTAAGATGTGAGTGAAATCTGTCTATCTATCTATCTATCTATCTATCTATCTATTTTTGTGTTAGTGGACACTTCATCTGAGGTCTGTCTTCCAAGAGCAATATTGTTATGGCATTGGCACCAAGCTTGATCTTAAGCCTGTGTTATATATATATATATATGCATATAAAGATATGTATGTATATATATGTATATGTATATATGTATATATGTATATATATATAATACATCCCTCAAAGTGAGAAATTCCTCCACTTTTTTGTTATCTCTTTCACTAGAATGAAACTCGAAGGAAAGCCGACAAGACCCTAACAGGCCATCACCACTTCAGTGCGGGGTGGGTAGCTAAAAAACCCTCACCTGACATAGCCACATTACCGATCACCTCATTTTGAGAAGTTTTCACCAAAAAGACAATTTTGCTTGCTCAGCCAAAATAGTAAAACTCGTCAGTTTCAAAGAACACAGAAGTCATTGGCTTTGCACGAACGTGGAGCAACTTCGAAACTTGTACCTCATAAAAAGTGATAGGAAGTGAGAAAGTGCCCAGCGTTGACGAACAATGCTTTTATGGTAAAATTGGGCGAGAAAAAGCCTCCAGTTCGGTTATAGTTTCTGCTGTTTGTATACAATACATTTCTAAAATAAACAAACTCCTGCATACACAGATCGAAAGGCAATGCTGAAAACAATTTGGTTGAAGGGCTGGAAGGCCGCCTTCAGATGAATCGAGAGGAGAATCATTTGTAAAATTTAGACTCAGTTTCAAATCATTTTGATTCTCAGATTTGTTGTTCAATGAAACGTCGAAAGGGAACAGTTCCATCGGTGTTTGGAGACCGCGCCATATGATTCGTGTTATTTTAAAGTTGATCTATCTCCATTATCGCAATTCAGGGATGTGTTCTATCAACATTTTTTTTCTCAAAAACGTGTTTTTTATCCTTACTTACTCCCAGAATTTCGACTATTCTAGGACAAAAATAAAACCCTCTGCCACCCTAAAATGAACAAATAGAAAACTACCTTGTTAGTTGAGTTACACGCTACATGGAATGTTCAAATATATCTGTGCGTTGAAGGGTTGACCAAGTACGAAACTATCAGATTAGTACGTGTCACTTCGTAGCTCATCTGATACAGCGCATGCTGCAGGGATTTGTAAGCAGCATCCTTGAATGGGCTTTGAATTCGTGTGAGGTGGTAAATTTCTTACAATCAGACAACATCAACATTGTCTCCCAATGGTGGGCATTGAAGAAAGTATGAAATCGTTAAACGGGAGGCTGTATGAACCTGCATTTTCAACTTCACGTTTTCACTTTGTTCAGCTATCCATTTTGTCAGTGTGGGCAATCACGTTAGGTGCTTCGTCTGTGTAGATACGCTGACTGAGTTGATCTGAACCTCTCACGAGCTACCCTTCAGCTCAGAGAAGGAACTAATATGTTCACAACTAGAATAGTTTTATGAACATTATTTCCAAATCCCACGTTATCATGTTCAGTTCACAGCTGCTTGTGATGCACGGTGTGGATTGGTTGAGAACTCATAGAGAATTCACACATAACCCTCAGTTCATTCAGTCAATCAAACGATCGGGAAACACTTAACTCGAATTTCTCTCTCCCAAATTTTCAATGAATCGTACATTTCAGACGACATTCTACCATGCTGTCTCAGTTTCTTGTATCTGTTTGTAATATCATTTATCTGCTAGAATCAATCATCAAAATTAGTCTATCGATCGTTTTTCTCACACTAAAGCTCACTGTATTACACTCCATCGAATGATCACTGGGTACCAATTTTTTTGTTATTTAAGTCAAATGAAGATTTTTCTTCTATTGTTACTTTCAGATGAACTATGGTGTAAAATAACTGTGAAGTATGTCATAGGTTAAATTGGCTAATCTGTCGCTATGATGAGGAAACACGCTTTCGCTTTGATGCCTATCGTAAATTGAAAACAACTCAAATACCTAACTTGATTTTTTCAAAAACCAAATCATTTCTAGCATAATATTCCTTAGACTAAAAGCGATTTTAAGAACCGGTTAATTTGTCAATTCGTCTATCCCAAAAATCAATCGATATAATGCTCAATCCTAATTCCTTCGGATGCTGACTATCATTCTGAATGAAACCGAGGTCGATGATCTGGGCAGATCAAACAACAAAAAACGGGCGCACTTTGCGTCACCACAATACACACTCTAGGTTCACACGCACGGATTATCTATTGTCTTGAGTTATTCAATTCCATTATTGGTAAATTAACCGGTTTCAACTTGCCTTTCAGGAGAAACAAATTGTTCTCGGATATCGTTTATTATGGTTGTAAAGTGAATTGTGGTTATTCATTCTATCTTATCCAAAAAATAATCCTTTCAACTCGCCGTGTACAAACGTCCCTAACCCGATTACTTGACAAATGTACCGATAGCCATTAATGACAACGATCGGAACATTGATTAGGTGCCATGAGTTACCGATGTGAACCAACGTCCCGACCCTCGACATCCGCTCATTGTGTTAATCCGTCTCTCAATCATTTCACTTAGACCTGTATTATTAACTATGCTTTATTTGGTTAGTTAACAGAGCCCCCAATATGAACTTATTCACCCCTTAGCGTGCCAGCGATTGCATTTTATCCCATACATTACCCCACGATGGATGCAAATGACCTCAGATTGCATGCTCGCGCGCGCGCTCGTGAATGAAAGTAAATTGCCGAGGGCAAATAAAATCATCATCTATATTTGTAATCAGCTTTTACTATCTGATCTCTGACACACAGACTCGACTAAACGAATTGGAACAAATGCACGCTCAACGTCTGGCCGAGGTGGCCAGTAAACAACGCGCGGAGACCGAGATGGAAATGGAACGATTACGGCACAACCAGATTCAAGCGGAGCGTGCATTGGAGGCGCGTGAACGTGCACATCGACAGCGCGTCAAAGTATTGGAAGATCAGGTAAATCGCACAAATTGACACACACAAATGTGACTGAAAATTGCATTTCTATAGATTCTGCTTAACACTGAATGCTTCGTTTGATTGCAAACCGCTTTTAGCGTGAGAATTCACCCACCCGTATGATTTGATCTGCATTTTAAAAAAAACGAATACCGGGGGAAATGCGCGGTTTTTATGATGGCTCACAATGCTACTGGAACATCACAGTTTGCAGTGCTTGAAACGCGTTTTACAGGTGACAAGAAACGAAATATATGAATGACTTCTTGTGATCTTATTCTTTTGTCAGAGTTGTTCTGTAATCGTGTCGTCTAGGGAACCTCCTTATAAACCCCGAAAAATGACGTTATTTGTTCCCTCTTGAAAGGTCAAAAGTGTGATGAATTGTCAAATGCCAGCCAGCTTTTATCTATCTTCAGTAACCAGATAGATCGACAACCGTCTGTCAAATACCTTGGCGGTATTTTCAGGGGTAACTTCATCTGGTCTGACCATGTTAATGACGTTTTTCTGAAGGTCAGGAGGCTCATGTTTTACGTTTCACGTCTATTCCTAACCATCTCATAAAGCGTTTTACTTTTGCTTGCGTTTTGCCCCACTGGCTTTATCGGTCCCTGTTATCTTCCCCGGTCTTTTTAACAAGGATGTCAAACTTATTTCCCAATCATTCAAGCTTTTGTCGGTGTGTAGTCTTATATACCGCGGGAACATCTGGTACAGCATGTTGTGGCACACCACCGCAAGTCCTGTGAAAATTCTCCAATAAGATTTTAACTGATATTTCCCATCCCCTTTCTTCTGCTCTTAACCAGTGCCTTTCTTACTCATCCACCCGTTCAGTCATAAACGCATAAAGACACGCACTGACGCTTACAAGCGCTCTATCGTACTTTATCTCGCCAGATTTCTTACAAATCATGACCTCGTTGCAGAAAATCTGCCCAAAACTCTAACCTGAACCAATCACAAATACCGTGGTTATCCGTTGGTGTTTAATGTTGCTGTGCGTTTCACTTCTTTTAATTGTTGTATTACTTTTTATTTTTGACACACTGTGGTTATGTGGTTGATGAATATCCACCACTCAAAGTTTATTAAGCGATTCCTTGACTTGACAACAATCAACACGTGTCAAGTGAAACGTATGTTTGGTGGTTAAGCAAAGGAGCACTGGGGTACCCGGCACTTATGCTGTGTTCAAAATAACTTCAAATGGAGGTCACTGACTTCATAAGGTTTAGAGATTGTGAAATCGGATGATGTGTCTTTTATTCGATTGTATCAATGCAAATATTGGAAAATAACAAAAGGTTAGGTTGCTTCCAAAAATGTTCAAAATGTTCATGACGAAAAATTTGTGCGTTTCTGTTCTTTTGAACAGGAAATAGTTTTTCATCATTTTTTTACCCACCATGACACCTAATAGTTTTGCAATTGGGATCAACCTTTTTTCATGTAAGAACTGTTCATGAAGTGCACCTGATTATTTAGGTATCCACATTTTCGGACCCTTCCAGATTTATCAATCAGTTATCAAGTTGTGCAATTCTATATTTTGGCAAGAGAATCCTTGTAAAATGGAAAATATTGACCTTTTTTCATGTCACGTATTCTTCCGTACCACGACGCTATACCAGTGAATGGCTGTTTTACCATATACGACATGGATACAGCACCATTCTTTTGGAGAAACGCTGAACAATCGAGCCGGCACCCGTGTTATATTATGGTTGTAGAAGCTTTCTTGTGGATTCTGGGGCACAGTCAGCACAAACGGTCAATATGAAACCTATTTTGTTCTACAGACCAGATACCTAGCCCTCTCATTGATGGTGATGTCGTGAATTATGTGGTGGTAGAACGTTTCACTCGTCGTTGAGCTTGTCTGACCACTGTGACGGATAAATCAAGTCGTCTATCATGAAGCATATTACCGTGTGACTCCGGAGCGGTTCTGGTAAATCAGTTATCCACCGCAAAACCGAGTTAGAGGCAGATAACAAGTGAAATGAGCAATTCGATTACCTCGACGGTTTCGTAAAGTGTTACAACCATGACCAACTAAGAAGAGTAACCACGTCCAGGCCCGAAACTCGAGTAATATAAGATCAGTTGAAAACCAACGAAATTTGCTTGACTTATTACCAAAAATATATGATAGAGTACATTGCAAGAAGGCGTACTGAGCTCTACTTTACAGCTATTGACATGAAAATTGCGAGAGTAAAAAAGCACTTAAGTTGATCTGCGCAAACATGAATGGACCGAATAAGTTACCAGTATCAAAATACCAAATTTCAATCACTTCGTAGTACTTTGGCGAAAATTGCGCTCTCACAATTGGTGAATGTCCGTAGACATCACTATATAGCTAGGCTCCTTTCTGGATACGCTTACTAATCTTTTTTTATTACACACCTAAGTGTGATGAACAGCAGACGGGGTGAACCCCATAGTCTCGAAGACCTGCTGTTCAATGATGAGAACCGGCAACATAAGCCTCGGGACTTGGAGTGGTGAACCACGTAAGACCCCGATAGGTTAGACGTGGTATTGAACCGGACGACAGCAGAGCTGCCTACCACGAAAGTTGGGTGGCGGGGCTCGAACCTCGGACCATTGGGGTCCAAAGCACACCGGTGACAACGATTAAAACCCCTGCCACTGCCACCCATTGTTATATATAATATATATATAATATTGTAAATATTATATATAATAATATTATATAATCTATTGTTATATATTATATTGTTATTGTTGTAGTTCCTGCGCAAAGATGGAGACAGGTATTTAAAAACCATCAGTTGACTTGAAGATAATATATAAAAAGCCTCATAGATATTTATTTCTTGCGATGTCAGTGGAGTTGTACTGTATTGTATTATATTGTAATAACTTCTGCAAGCATGAAGCCCACATTTCAGTTAAAAAATATACCGTTTGGAGCAAGGGAGAAAAAAACAATGAAAAAAGAGATTTAAATTCCAAAGTTGTTAACAAATTCTGTGAAAACCGGTTCTTTGTTAACAAAAATACGTGCTAATGAGGGTACTGTGGAGTTACGATGAATGTTTATTCTAAAGGGAACACAACGATATTTTGATCAATATGAGGGATGGAAACAACAGGAAGTTAGGTCAGCGTGTAGCGGATGTGTGCAGTCGATGAGAATCTTATGCGCAAACTTTTCTCATGCATTCAATGGACGTTCGCCTAAGTTGGTTACCAACTCCTTCAGTGGGATGTAAGAGACGCGGCTGATGATGGTCAATCCACGTCGAAGCAAGTTAAAATCTTTCTTAAGGAGGTTGGGAAAAAACAGGTGAAAAATAAAGTAAAACAGGGAAAACACNACTGATACAGAAAGTTGAAAATAATTGATTGTGGAATACGAAACTGACGGAGTTTACGGATATGAAAAGAAAGTCGTCGAAGCTTACTGACAATGTGTTGAATGTGAGATGTCCAATGAAGACCAGTATCATGTAATATATATATATATATTATTTATTGATGTTAAATATGTAACATATCCTTACAGATATGGCGCCAAAAATAACCATGGGTTAACAAAAAATATGGGCACCGGAGCGGGGAAGACAAAACAGTCAACTTGGGGGAATAACACATTTTTTGCTCGTTTACTACACGCCATTTTGAGCTTTTGCTCAGCGAACTGTTAGTCGATTGGTTCAATACGGTCGATTATGCAGGAAGGAACGTTGTCATTTGGATTTTGGTTTTAATGGCTTAGCGAATTCGACCATTTCCATAATTATGTAATTCAAGTCGGACCATATTATCTATTATCCTACTCTTTTTCCGACTTATCTGGATCTTCACTTAACAGTACAAAGTTGTCAGTATGCTTCAGATAAACTAACCAACCCCCTGAGAGTAAATTAATGACACTATCCTCGCAAGCTTTTCTGGACGGCTACCACAGCCATGTTCGGTATGTGTTTGGCACCCGTAAAGTGTAAGACGTCATTACAGGTCTCAGTTAGTCCAACGCCAAACCTCAATTTGAATGGGGAAGTAATAGAGTAAATGAACAAGTTTTGCTATCTGGGCAGCTATATGTAACGCATCACAGATGAAGTGTTGGCACGCTCGATTGGTATTTGCAAACTTGAGACATCTGTGGTGCTGTCGTGCATCTACCCAATGTTTTTGTAACCTTGGTCCTTATAAATTCGCTATTTTCACCCTGGTACTGATATGAAAATCCTAATCTTCCCTTTACCCATTCATTTTATTGGGCAGACAACGGGCAGTAACCGAAACCGGCGCACGAAAGTGCATGGTCAATGGTTGTAAAAGCTGAAATGGTCCAACTTATTGGCGATGTCCGTAGAACAAACATGGCTTCACGTTAATAGGTTCACTCCAACATATTCTGTTCCAAGATAGGCGTCCTTACAGCTCATCTACCGACTAGCCACAAATTCACGAATGGCATTGAGTGATAAAAAGAAAACGGCATTATTTTCCATCGTAAACGTTGTTTTTACAAAGGTCTCTAAATCCATACAGTAAATCACAACACTTGTTTCATCGAACCGGTGTTTATTTTTTTAAGCTCATTCGACAAAAAATTAAAGTGAGTTCTCGTTTGGTTGTTCGTGATGTCACCTAGTTGACAATTTCATTTACACCCTTATATCGTTCGAAATTTTCGTTTATTTCGAATGATCCCCATTGGTTCCATGTTGAATGAGTACGTGTGCAGTGAACCATTTGGGTTTCATACCTGTAAGTTAGGTTTGGAACTGACTACCCGTGTCGATCTTAGAACCGGTACTTGTCTATTGGAAACGTCGCATACTGGCAAAGTCCAGCTGGTTATGAAAGTAACGGTTCTGTGATCGGGGACTCTATTAAAGAATTCCACCTTGGAACAGACTCCGTTGTGGAGGTTCCTTAATTCTCCACTAGTTCACGTTTGCTATTTGGTGAAGTCGCGTTCATGGGTGAACAACCAGCGCTGGATAGTTGTTGCCTTCTTTAACGGGGCTCGTCATCATTGAGTGCTTTGTAGTCAATGTCAAAACCAAAACCACGAGCCTTCAGGTTGGGAAACAAAACTAATTACTGAGCTTCACGGATAATGGCCACTTCATCAGCTTCTGGCCACATCCGATTAATATAAATTAATGCGAATTCTCTATCTTCACTTTGAACCTGCTCTCGATATTTCAATCTTCATTCTGCTCTTTCAAATGGGTAGCCGCAAAACGGCAACCAAAACCGGCGCATGAAAATGCATGATTTATGGTTGTAAAAAACTGAAACTGAAAACGTCTAATTAATTGGATTTTCTCCCTCGAAATCCAATTGCGGTTGGAAAAAAGTACTTGAATCATCAAAACCGACAAGAGGAAATTGCTGCTCACAACTCATAGAATGTAGCAAAGAGAAACGAAGTGACCACTAGCCTTTCTGAAGGGATAATGTACTTTTCAGTTTCGTTATTAGATCTGGAGTTAAGTAACCACCAATGGGCAAAACTTGCAAGCAATCACAACTATCTTATATCAAATAGAATTAACCCTTACAGTTGCATGCTTCTCTTCCGTTTGCTTTTCCTATTCTCTGACAGATGGGTGCAATCCGTGAGCAGTTAGCAACAGAGACCCGAAAACGTCAACAACTTCTGAGTGGGAAATCTGGAGCAGTGTCAGGGTTACCAACGAAATTGAGTGAAAAACCGTTTTCAGGAAATTCACGTGAGGTTCGACGGCACTTGGAGTCCGCAGATATTCCAGTGAAAGCGTACCTCTCAACTGGTGACCTTCGTCGTGGCACATGTTGCTCTGGAACCGAGAAGAAGACTAGTCTCGATCGAACTAGAGCGAGCGGTCGAGGGCTTCATTTGAGTCGAAAATGAAAGTAAAGAGACTGCACAAGTAGATACAAACCCAGTTCTCTTACCACAATTCCTGCCTGAAAATAAAAACATCCATTTTACCCCACTTCCGAAATTAAATTAAAATCAAATGCGCGAAAACACCCCGCTGTCCGTGATATTTTTTCGTCTCTGTGATCAAATGAACAGAACCAATTCCCCGGCCGGTTGTCTTCCTTGCTTCGCTTGTTCGACCTAGCCCCACCGAGCCATTTTGAGCACGGATGTTGATGTTTTTTCTACGGGGAACATCATATTTTTGCATGGAATCAAACAGATCCTCCGTATCTGGGACCAGTTGAGGACTGACTTTGATTCATTAGATTTTTTTCTCTTTCTAGGTTTCTCGATTTTTCGATATTTTCATGCATGAAATTCGAATGCGATCAACCGGCTCAAGGAGGAGAACGAAAAGGGGAATGAACAGCACCAATCCCAATGATCTGTAGTCAAGGCCATGCAATCCCAATGGACCCGCATTTCAGATCGGATCTCATCACCACGTGCAACTGTCAGCTTGTGTGGATAGGGATTTGGAAATAAAAAATTTGCTCGTGGAATTTTGCACTGTGTTATCATAAGCAACATTCACCCGCCCAAAATGAGATAGCCGATGCTTATAGATGTCCGATAGTGATGCCTTCCCCGTTATATTATCAAGTCATTACACTAACGTTTGGACCAAATCAATGTGATCTAAGTTGTCCAACTTAAAGGTGTATCGTTTACCACTAAAGCTTCATTAGGCGGTACAAATTATACCAGAAAATTAATCATGATTACAATAGAGGCGATATAAGGTTTGTCACAAAAGAATACCACTGAACTGATAACCTAATTTTCATGAATGTGAGTAGCGATATAACTACAGATGGATTCATAAGGAGGGTTGTGCGTGCGGTGCGTCACTATTGCACTATAGACCGTAACGCGCACTTCACTCAATTGCCTGAGCACCAGCAACCGCATCGCGTTATCCGTGATTCGCTGATTTATCGACGGAATAATAAATAATCCAGTGAGCATACCCACTTGCCTCATGTAGTGCAAACCGCTGATCCAGGTTTAAAAAAAACTGTACTAGCATACATACATGTTCTCATTTCAAAAGTAGGCGATTGACTTTCCTCTTGTGCGTTTGACTGGCTCTAATCTGGTATAGTATTTGCCGCAATTGGGAGCGCTCGAATCGCATGAGTGTAAAGAGATGGTCCAAGATGGAAACTGTTATCCAGACGGACGGAAGGCGAACTCAAGAAATAATGTTTCGGGTGTCGTCGGATTGAAAATTTTCGTCCGAAACTCTGCGGAATTTGATCGTCTCAACTGCTGCTTCATTTACTGCTCACACGTGTGTGACGGTTCGGAATCCGTTCACTGACCCACGATGTGACATTTTTCTAGGAAACACATGGCAATCCACGCTCAAATACACTTGGGTTCACCGCTCTGTGGGACTTTCAGAAATGCATGTAAAACCGCTCGTTATGAACCAAATTTGCTGAATACTTGATAGACGCCCCAAAGAAGCGAACATCAATTGTACTCACTAATTACATTGTCCAGTAGCACTGAATTGTTCGGGTAGCGCACATGTCAGTCGACATTGTATTGTGCACTATAGATCCAGCAAGTCTAAAATGATACAACAAATTTGCAAGATTTATTCTTTGTAGCGAAATCCTTGGCTGCCTGTTTCACGCATATAGAGTTGAACATAGCATGAATAGCTTTCGGATCGAACAGTACGTTTTGAATACGGACAACTCAGACTGATCATTGAGTTGAGTTCATGCTATCGTTAGCCAAACAACTGTGGAAGATCATCTCAACAAACTGGATAACTTCCAGTAACATGAAAAGCGTAAACTAATCAGATGTTCAATGATTGCAAATGTCCCCATAGATAATGACTTGTTTCGCACCCCACACGAATAGAAGTTCGTTCTTTTACCATAAATACGAGATATCACAATTCGAAGTGATTAGAAATTGAATTACAGGTATACCAGAGGGATGCCTTAGCTACTCAAAACATGCCGACATTGTTGAAGGCAAACGCCTATTTCTGGTATTCGCTTATTATAATTCCCGCCTTCCCGGGGCGTATCTCTTCGTCGAAATAAGCTGATCATTGAGTTTGGTGTTAAACTGAATACATGTCTATTGCGGAGATCATTTACGCATGCATTTTCCGCATCTTGCGTTTACATGAACTGGTGAACATGATGGGAAATTCGACCAGATTTATCCCCGGACACATTCTAAAAATTGAAATCTAATCAAACTGGACAAGTTATCTACGAAAGGGACAAGTGGGAAATGATTAAAACGGGCACACTATTCAGATAACAATAAACCACCGGACAAGTGAATCAACATTCAATTTAGGCGCATTTTGTTTACTTTTCAAAAGTCAAATTATATTGTCGAAATAGTTCCATGGAACACATTTCAAACAAAACAACAGAGTGGCGAACAAGCTCGTTTTCAGAGGACAATTTACATTGTCCAATCGCAATTGACTGATCGGACGCACGAACCTAATGTGTCAAGTCGGTATCGGGTGATAAAATCCCATGATTACTGGCAACGACAGTGAAACGCCCCCCACCCTCCAAGAATTAAGAATTTCTAACGAACCCTCTATCACGAAGCTACTCGTGTGCATATAGCTTTTTTTTATTCAGAACCCCAATATAACTCAGTCACATTTGAAACATCTGTTTCGCCGTACTGATGGCTGGCTATCCGTGATGGGTCGAATTTATGTTGCAGCAGTTAGGCCAATCATGCTCTACAAAGCAGAGACTTGTCCATTACGGGAAAAGGATAAAAATAGATTGTCGATGTTCGAACACCGAATGGCGCGAGTCTAGTGGGGTAATCGGACATGCAATGCTGAGATTAGAGGCAGAATTTTAGGTATCGCGGTCATCCACCGGAACAAGTGGTCGAACCCCATAGACTACCGTGGTTAGGACATGTATTGTGCATGCCACGAAATAGATTGTCGGCGCCAGCGATGTTTGTGGAGGCAGGTAGCGGTTGCAAAAATGTAAAGGGTGGTCAAACAGACTTAGCATGAGGGGATGAAAATCGTAACCGGGATCACATAGGTACCAGAAGGCCTCCCGGATGGGGACCCGAAGATCATCATCAACGAAGGCTAGTCACCGAGCGATATGGCTGTCGCAAACCGTGGCGACTATCCCGATTGTTCTGGCATGTTCCCACATGATTTGTGTAAACTTGGAAAGCGGCTCCGAAGCATTCATCGGCATAAATCACAATTTAATCCGTAATGTGCGCAGCTTGGTGAATAATCCAAGAGCATTAGACCCCGGAGGAGTTGAGAAATGGAAATGTGCTTGAACTTTTTGTACTCTTCAAGTTATTTCCAACTGTTGTGGACACAGGCTGGCCACTTTCGGTTGAGCACCAGCGTTGTCATGTTCGGTATGCACGCCGCACCTTCAAAGTGTAAAATGTTGCTACAAGATTGGGTTGGTCCAGCATCCAGCCTCACTCTAATCTGGGGAAGAAATAGACCAAGTTTACAAGTTTTGTTATTTGGGCAGCTACATCTCATCCGATGGACATATCACGGATGAAGTACCAGCTCGCATACGGAAGGCTCGATTGGCATTTGTCAACTTGAGACATCTGTGGAACCGACGTGACACCCGGCTATTTGTGAATGGTCGAGTGTATGCTGCGGCAGTTCTGCTAGATGATGCAGAACCTGGGACAGATTGACAATAGACTGTTGGTGTTTGAAAACCGCTGTCGGTATCAGATTGTACGAATCTGGTAGGGCACTTGAACGAGCAAGGTTAGGCGCAGTTTTAGGTAGCCGCGGTCGCCTACTGGAGCAAATGGTCGACCTCCATAGATTACGTTGGTTGGGGCATGTGACCAATTAGAGTGACGAGGCGCGCGAGTTTGGCCGGGGTGGGACGCGGTTGGATAAAGGCCAATGGTGGTTAAGAAAATCTGGCACGACGCTATGAAAACGACAACTGGAAGAATCAGTCACATAGGTCCCGTTAGACTCCCTGAATGTTCGTAACTGGTGGTAAGAGACACTGAGAGATATGACTGTGTCGGAAACAGTGGGGTTCATGCATCTCGATTTCCATGTAACATTATTCCACCGAAATTCTCCAACTTCTCGACTTTACTCTCAATTTTCCTATTTTTCTCCTACTGCTTCATCTAAAGGACAGAAACCAAAACCGGCTCGCAAAATTGCATGGTTAATGGTTGTATAAACTGAGCTCAACTTTCGGTCGAAGTTTTGACCTGCCCATTAAATTACCATTGTTTATTAACTTTTTCTCACACAGATTTCGTTTTGACTCTATTTGATTACTGTTGTATGCAGCTGTCTGTAACGGTTCATCAAACACTGAATTTTACTCCAGTCAGATGCAANTGCCAATTGGCGTGCCCATGTCGGGGATAGAAATACGGTCACTCAGTTAGTTCGACAGCCGTGAATCAGGTGAGCTCGGGCTTTTTTAATCAGCTGTCTTAGACCAAAAGCCAGACCTGGTGCGTTTTCAATCAGCAAGCATCCGCGCCCTAACAAAAAGCCACTGGCGTCCGGTGACCATATTGTGATATGGTGTAAGACAACCGTTACTAATAGGGCTAGCGCAGCTTACCTGGTTCGATCTAGTTGACAAGCTTTACAGAACAGGCTAGTAACCCAAAGTACTGATCTATCTGGGATAATCTTGCTGCTTTATCTGTTACAACTGACTCAAGGTGCGACCATTGCGATCAAAAAGACCGAGCAGCCCTGGGGATACCTAATCCGCAAACCTTTATGGATAATTGTGATGTCGTCCACGGAGCCGACTTAGCTCTGGCACGAAATAGATGGGTTAAAGTAAGTTGTGTTCTAGGTTGATTCCGTGGGACACGCTTCATTTCGCTATTTGATCGCATCTTCTCGATAGCTAGAAACCAGGTGAACTCCCATACAGGACATTATCATACGTCGTTCTTCTCAGCGAGATGGTAACAACGATAAGAGAGAGCACCTCGTTAGACATCACAGCAGGGAGAAAAAATCTAATGAAATAAATCAGCATGATAGTGTTTGTATTCGTATCAGTCCCGAAAGATCGACTGAAAAAGGAATTGATAAGAGAGAGAGAATTTTACGAAAGTCCAAGGGCGTCTGTGAGAACGGGTGCGAGCGAAACAAGAGGTGAAGAGAGGCATGTGCAACGGATGAAAGGTGATGAGGTCAAAAAACACGGGGAGAGGAAATATACCTTTGGGTTCAACCTGAACTATCCATTTCAAATGGTGGCAGAGAGGAGAGAAAGAATAACATGTAAATGAGACGACGTATGAGAGCATGCTTTGTGCGCGGTTGTTGCTGATCGACATGAGATCAGAAGACAATCTGCATCCACCAGGTGAAAAATATGGTGAAGAAACATTTGACAGAGTTCAACCCCTTATTGCGGACCGAGTTTAAAGAACTGCAGACGGGGCGGACAGACCGAAAAAATCGGGTGGAGACAATGCACGTCGAGAGACGCGATTATAACACAGCAGTTCAGTTAGTTGTACGGGCACGGACACACGTGTGGGGAATGGGAGTGCTGTCTGGGTCAGATGAGGAGCACAAGCCAAGAGAGGATAACGGACAGCAGGAAGGATACGATAAACGAGTGTGTGCACCGCGCGTGAGAGAGAGAGAGAGGGAGACAGCACAAAACCAGGCTGTCAACATCAGAGCAGACGAGCCCGACAGGGGTCTTTCTCCCACAAGACAGACAGAGAGAGATACAGGGAAACTGAGCTGACAAGCGTGAACAGTACGGTAAGAAATCGGACGGATAGGCAAATGAACAAATGAACCAACAGACTGATTGATTCGGCGACCGGATCCGAATAACACGTGTGTACATACGGACTGGGATCGAGATACCGTCTCCCGAGGGTGAGAATATACAGGACAAGGACTAGAAGCAACCGAAATAAACAAATAGAAGAAACCAGTATAAGGAGCGCCCCGAACCAGACCGGATATTGTTTGATGACTATCGAGGCTGCAGAGGTGAGTGGGAAATGGAGGGGGATAAAAAGTGTGCCCGCTTGTTCACGGACATGTATACAGTTGGGCACATGATCACCTAGTACCACTGAGATACGATACAGGGGGAGTCTTCTAGGGTGGGGAACGGACTATCGATATAGGTCTTCCTGTAATATCGTGGTACTTTTAAATAACGGATAGTTATAATACATTGGGCATCAATAACTGAAGGAATGGGATGAAACAATCGATGGTAGTTAGAAAAAAAGACAAGAGAACATCAGGACCAGGCTTCCATGATGTGGGGAAAAGGGACAGATAGACGAGGTCAAAGATGTAACCACTGCCGATAAGGCTAGGTGCAGCAACAGCAGGACGTATTTCAAGTTATCATCCAACCTCGTCTATATCACCCGATGATGCTATAAATTAACAAAGGCGTCTTTTACGAAATCTCTGTGAAAAGGCAGTCGAGAAGGGATTAGTCGTCGGCCCTGGCTTGCACGCACTGCCCGAATCGACATGTTTGACCAAGGAGGAAAATGTTCGACGTCGAAGGAAAAGTCTGTGACCGTTGCCAGATTTTTGTTCATCACTTGAATCACTCAGTCCCGGTTGATTGCCACCGCGTGAAACGCTTCTGTCAGTGGACGACCGAGGTCGAAGAGACTTACGGGAAATAAATCCATCCTCGGCCGCAAATTTACCCGAAGAATCACTTCGTGCATTTTGTCGAAGTGGTCGTAAATACGTAGATCGCGATGAGGTAGAGGATTGAGGAGATTGTGGCGCGGAGCCGCAAGACGAATAAGAAGTATGCGCAACCGAGGAGGCAAGTGGTGAGAGTGGTGCCTGAAGGCCACTACCTGATTCGCTAGCATCCGCTGTCCCATTGCGAGTTGTATTAGACAAAACTGGAGAGATTGTCTGTGATTTCGATTTTGCCGAATGACTACCCAAGGAATCCGGTGTCTCAGCTCCTACAACAGGAGCACTTTCGGTCAGCTCTGATTCTGTTGAGTTCACCATACCATCAGTTGTTATGCTCGAGCCCGATACGGTATCCGATGGTGCCTCTGTCGTATGATTATTTCTCGGTCCGGGGGAGCAGATGGTAGGTTTATTCTGACTCTGGGTCGTACCATCGCTCGCATCTGTTGTGTATACCTCTCCTCGATCAACGGTACTTCTGTTACATCCGGAAACAAACGTGCCTCGCTTTCCCCGTGCACGCAGTCCTCGACGAGTTAATTGACCACCAACGGAGGCAGTTGTTGATTGCGGGTCACTTAAACGACGTAAAGCGATATTTCGCTCTGATTCTGCGGTAATTTCCGTGGACCCCACGGAACTTTTAGGAACAGAAACGGAACGATCTGAGTCAGATCTCCGGGAATGATACGGAGGATCTACCGAGCCGGATGACTTTCTTGTGCTGGAAGAGCTTGCAGTCGGACTGAGAAGAGACAAAGACGTGCCTGTATTAGGCATATTTTGAAGCGCCTGAACTACCAACGTTCGAAGGAGTCCATGCTTGGCTAGAGCGGTTAGATAAGCTCGAATAAACGGCTCGTAGTTGTGTACTCGTCGAGCATCATCTACGCGGTAGGTTTGACGCTTTTCTTCCTCCTCAAGGAGTGCAGCGTCACACAATTTGGCCTGTTCTTTGACTCGGTTAAGCAACAGACGAAGTTCGTCGGCGGTGAATCGTGGAACAGTTTCATGCAAACGGCCACCAATCGGATAGCCTCGGTTCGAGTCGGACCGATCTACCTTTGTATCGGCACAAATGGCACTGATAGACGCACAAGACAGCTCCGGACGAAATGTCATTCCATGGTGATTTATTTGGGATGTGATGGAATTCGGCGATGTTCCGGCATTACATGCGATGGCTGTAGCCGTGGTAGTGTTAGTGCGGCAACTGGCCAAACTATGTGAAGCTAGTGTATCTCTCTTGGTAGATGAACGTGTCGGATATTTAGAGGCTCGGCGAATGGAATCACATGAACTTGTAATTGTAGTCACCGTACCTAAACAAGAAAAAAGGAGAACGAATTAAATACACAGGAATAGAATGAGTCCTGTTGAAGAAGAATGATAGCAACAGTATGGGTGTAAACAGCTACCTCGAATATTAAGAGACTATCATTTCAAAAAAATGCAGCTTTGATGTGGGGAACGAAAGAAAAATTTGACATACTCTCCATTAGACTAGTCTAGAATCATAACATGAAAAAATACAGGTACAGTGGTGGCAAATTTCGATTTTTAAAAAATTTCTTGCATCGAAAAAAACAGGTAAAATGTATGAAATAGGAATTTTCGGCCTCACTTTCGTTAGGCGGAAAGATTATGACGTGAGTTCTGATCCCATATCTCAGAATATATACTGTCTTAAAATCTAGACAATCTATAGCACTTACGATGCACCTTGGCATATCACATTGAAATAGAAAAAGCATGCTCTCCATTGTTCAAACAGGATAGGGGAGTGCACCTCTCGGATATCATAATCCACAGGAAATTACTACTACCTGCTGCCCCCAGATATTGGTCGGCCAGGTGTGCTGATCCTTCTTACTGCTAACTCTCCTATTCAATGAGGCGATCTTGGTCTAACCGGTGATAATCAGCGGTCCTTGGCACAGGTGAATAGATGCTGTAGTATATGCTGAGGGAGAGAGAGCAGTTCCTGGAGCCAGTCATAGATGATGTTTTACGGTCGCGAGTTTTGATCTCACCGTGCTGAGGTAGTGAATCCGCTTTTTGAATTCGACCGCCGATGTCTCCGAAGCATTCTTCGTGTCTGATAGAAACAATTGGTAAGCCATGACGGGGTTCGTCGTTGGGATTTGTGTGCTGCTCGTCGTTCTCTGGAAGAGGAAACTGCTTCATATCACCATCGACGGCACGGACGTGTTTTGCGTCTGGCTGTTCATCGTCTACCTCTATGCGCACTCAGTGCAGGTGCTGGATAAAGCTGGGAGAAAAGCCACCGAGGGTAGATCATGACCTAGAGTTCGGATATGAGAAAATTAGCTTCAGCATTAGCCTTGACGTCTAATTTTTGGCACAGGTTATGAAGTATGTAGTTCGTTTGGGACGCTGAACGACACATCTAGGAGTTGAGGTGAGTGGCACAAATGCGATTCGGTGTGCTTGTTGAAACACCATCCCCCATGAAAAACATAACGATAAAACATGCGCCTGTGTTTACTCCCCTCCGTCACAGTATTCGGCGTCTCTAACCATCGGTTAAGGTGAATCCGATGTATCCAACCGAAAACGAACACGATTTATATGACAGAGGTTCCTCATCAAGGTTTTCGTAACTTAATGCCAGGTTTTAGTTTGGCCGCCATTGGTCTGCCTTGGCAAACATCGCGCGATATAGTAACCTATCCATCCATACCATAAACCCCACAAGCACAAACAATGGAGATCGACCACATGCTCCAGTCGTCAATTACTAATACCTTAAACTCCGCACCTCATCAAAGCAGTGCTCGTTTGGTTAAAACATCAAACCCGTGCAATGCGGCGTAGAAAGCGTTGTCCAAACACAGTCAGCCTAATTTAATCCGGTTACGCAAAAGTCAAGTCTCTGTATCGCAAAACCGTACTGACCGAACTACCACACCGTACCATCGACAGTTCACGAACAGCCGGGTATCGCGACGGCTCCCTCGATGTATCAAGTTGGCAAATGCCAATGGAGCCTTTTGTATGCGGGCCGACGTTTCAGCCCTGTTGACTTTGCCAAGCGAGATAATACTACCCAGATAACAAAATTTGGCTACTTCGTCGAACTAATTCCGCAGCTGGAGTGAGGTTGGGAGCAGAACCAACCCAATCTTGTAGCAACATTTTACACTTTGAAGGTGCAAAACATGTGCAGAACATGGCTACATGAGCGAAAACCGTCCGGAAGAGCTTGCAACTTGGTTGAAAATTCACTTAGCAGCACAATTTCGTCGGCATCCTCCAAGTCTAACAGTTTACCACCTGGGAACAAATCGATGCCACCATCATCGCGCGACGAAAAGGATGTTCCAAGAATCAAAGCTATCACAAAGTTAAATCTAATAGGAGAGACAGGGCAACGCTGACGAACAGCACTTTCTGTATCGAACTCGGCGGAAAAGTGCCGCCGGCCGGGACTCAGCTTCGGTTATTAGTACAAAGAGATCACAAAATTGAAATGGACTCCTAAGCCACGCACTTCAGAGAGAGGCAGCACCAGGGCACATAGCGGTCGACTGAGTCGAAAGCCGCTTTTGAATAGAGGAAAACACAAATATTGAATCTGTTAAGTGTCAGTGTTCTAAAATGTGATGAAGGGTGCAAATTTGTTCTATACAACCACGGTCAGATCTAAAAGTAGACGGATTCTCCCGAGTGTAGCGTTCACATGCTTCAGAAGGACCTGAGCGAGAAGCTCAAGGCCAATGTGGATTAAACCCAGTACTCTAAGGTTTTCACAAGAGGATCTTTCAACTTTCTTGTAAATCGCTAAGATGACCGCTCCACATCGATCAGCTGAAACCTGTTCCCTCTTCCATATTGAGTCCAGGAGTTTTTTCAACTCCAAGATGAAGGCTAGACCTTCATACTTAAGCACCGATGGGGACAGTTCGTCCGGACCGGAAGTCATATATCTTTTGAGATAACTGATTTATCGGGTAACCTCCAATATAGATGGAGCACTGGCATCAACTGGCAGTATTTACAGTTAAAGCAGGAATCGGGATGTCTTGTGTCGACGGGGACCAGCCGAACTGTGCCTTAAAATGCTTTGCCCATCGACCTAGACAGTGTTGCTGAGTATGAATCAGTGCAAAAATGAAAAAATGTATTTTTACTTCCCTTTTCTATTTATCGAATATACAAATGTACAGACAACTTTCAGGAAGGGGGCTGCGGCCATACAAAGGCCGCCTGGGGAAAATACACATATAGGAAAGACGGGTGGCTGTGGAGCGGTTTGAACGCGGAACACCCAGGTCACTAGTTGGTGACCTAACCACTTGGCCACCACCACTCCATCAGAATCCTTAATTGCTTCACATCTACTTTCCTTGGGCCCGTACTCCGAACTAGACGAAAAATATTACGATTACTATCGATAGCCGCAGCCTTCCCCATCTCTCAACACTTCCTTACCCACCACTTCTCGCGATCATTCCTTAGGTTCTTGATGAGCTGACCTTCAAAGGATTCGAGCGCTTTGTCGAATTTGGCATCAGGATGAATGACTTTACGAGCGTTCAGCACTGAAAGGCGATCAGAGAGTTCTACTAGGAAAGCCGATTCGCAACTGTCGTTTACATTATATTGTGGGCACCCTTTCCTTTTTTCGTAATTTGTTAACCAGCCTTGATGAACAGGTCTTCTGTTGAACTGGAGTAAGCAAGTACCGTGATTTAAGAATCGGCTTTTACAGTAAATATAACGGGATTAGAAAATTGAAATGAATTTCTCAGGCACGCCCCTTAGGGATATGCAGCGCCGGAGTAAACAGCGGTCAACTGAACCCAATGTCACTTTCAAATCGAGAGAATTAGAAATCGTGCATCTGGTAAAGGAATATCTAGGATTTGGCGGGGAGTGAAATATTATCGAGACAACCTGGACTAATTCTAAAACCTGCATGATTCTCACGCGTGCACCATAGCTAACAAAATTACACCTTCAAACTCAATGGATTGGAGAAACGGTCCTCGGAAAGGGTGGGAGGTTAATATCACAACATTAGGCATACAAAAGGGCTGGTTCAACAATGCTGTAATTGGAGGTTTGTCTTATGTTGCACCTAACAGATGACGAGCTGACGCTGCGTTTTACTGTGGATTCTGTCTAGCGTTGTCACAGGAAGCGATAGTGGCTACGAGCTAAGAGGTTTGGCATATATTACCTGGGACGTCAACCTGTGGACCTGAACAATCGCTGGGTTGTAAATTATCCTGGAGCTATTTTTTCTGTCATAGGAGCAAAGTATAGTTGAAGTGGACAAACTGTTTGTAAGGCTGGACGGATCGCTCTCTGTGTAATAGCCGTATATCGATAAGGCATTTCAACTAGAAAGTAAGTTCAAAAAATCACAGTTTCAATAAACACTGATCCTACCTGAACGACTGTGTATAGACGAAAATCTTTCAAATACACTCGCGCTGTACTTACCGGATAAAGATACACCCGATGAGATGGCTGACTCGTTCAATGTGGAACAAGATTCATCTGGCGTATGTGACACACGAAATTCTTTATCAGTACTGGGATCCCGTTTGATCGCATGCTCAGCTTGGGGAGAGCAAGGTGAACGCGTTGCTGTGGGAGAATCCAGTGGGGTTGGTGAATTTGAACTACTGGGTTGTTCAATGGAATCGGAGACGGCACAGTCGATGGATTTACTGTGAGATTCAGTTTCTGTATGATTTTTCACTCGAGCTCGAGTGAGGGCTCGGGTTTGTGGACGGAGTTCACGAGCGGTAGTCGTTGAACGTGCCGTATCCTCTGCTTGCTTCATTGCTGTTGTCCGTCCGAGTGGTATCACACCGTTTGGTAGAGTGGACTCAAGTCGATCGGCGGAAATTAACCGTGCACGATCCCAGAGTTGAGTATCCACCGTTAAGGGTTTGGTCAACTCGCTAGGAAGGTCCGACTCCGAGGAAATGAAAGCGGAGCTAAATGATAAATGATTAGTCCCGTTCTTTGATGATGCGGATTGAATCTCGGAAACCTGTAAATAGAGACGAAATACCACGGGCTTCGATGTAATTTATAGTCGATCAACTAGACAACGACTAACGCTCGGTTTTAGGACAATCAACGTACTCCCTAAAAACCATTCAAGCTCACATGAAAAAAACTGTATGCATCAAAAGTCAGTTCGCGAACTGTAGTGAAACCGGACGCATCCCGTCAATCTGGACAGTGAAATTCAATGCACCGGGACGAGCGCATTAAGCTTTGTTGGAAGTCAAAAACAAACCCTCAGTAATTTGATTCCTTTTGGACGATTGCATTTCGCAAGTTGCATGCAAACTTAACTTACCGCCATAGAATTTGTTTCTGCGTGTTCAATATATCCCCTTCTTTAAAAGCTTTCGCATAAAAAGGGTTAATAATGGTTTGTCGGACGCCAAAGTGAAACAGAAAGAACGGATTCAAATTTCGTATGGGGGAAAATACTAAAAGATCTAGTCGGCGTGAGATCGCTTCAAGGTTTACGTACCAGAATAATCACTTGAAAAAATTTGCTCACTAATTACAATCATTAGAATGTGCTGAGTGGTCAGTGGGTGAAAAAACAGGTTCATGATGACTACTTGATTGGACGGGGATATGATTGATGTTCTGTTTGACACATCAAAACCGGAAACCAATTGCGAATTGAAACGGCGCTATCTTAATCCACATAGATCCCAAAAAGCAAGGGAACAGAAAATGCTAGAAACATTTATCAACTTCGTTCCGAGGCAAATGAAATAATCGTTTCAGTCAAAGAAAATAAACCCGTGATATTTTATACCATTGGTAATTGGTTTACACTCATTCTATGAATAGTCAATTTGATGAGTTAGGCCTGTGTGAATCATAAATTATATCAGATATCTTGACTAAACGACCAATGAGGAGCAACAAAAGACAGAAAGCACCCTACGGTCAACCAATAAATTTCCATCTGTATCTGGGAGTTGCGATCATACACAAATGACAATATGACAGAGCTACTTATCTGCAGCCCGCCCCCTCCCCCTCAAAAAAAACGCACAGAATGGAAGACATTCAAACAAAGTTGTTCATATCAAGTAATGAATCCAATTTGAAGAAATTACTGACGACACCTACGGACTCCTGAAAAGCAATACTGTCTCATAAGCAGCTGTTTATTCAGAAAACCGGTTGTAGTTATGCTCCAGAAAATGAAATACATCAGTGCCTGAAAGCAAATCACTAGCAGATTCTCAAACGGCTCAAAGATAACAAGCGTGTACGCACGTGTGCATCTCTGTGACACAGATTTCGATGGTGCTGGCACGCGGATCGGCTGACTAAACGACCCAAGTTTGGTTTTACTTCGGAGCTCGTGTCCTGGACAGTAAGCTATCCCAAGGAACGCAGTATCTCCGTTTGAGTAGATGGAACCATGTTTCGTTCCGCGCCTGTAAATGCTGGCGCTCCCAAAGGTTCTGTAATTTCCCGTTCCCTTTTTCTGATAGTTATCCATGGTCTGCTTTCTTCGACTTCAAATCCCATTCACGCTTTTGCCGATGACGCCACCATACACTCTTTGTCCTATTTCCCTTCAAGCATCACCAACTCCTGGATTAGTGACGGCCACTGCTCCCTTAGTTTTTCCCTAAATTCTGATGTGGGCCTATATATATATATATATATACTTATTATTATTATTATCATCATCATCATCAAAATAGTTCATAAAAAATATAGCTAACAATTAAGGAAAGGATTTATCAACAAACCTTTTTTGTTGACTGTTCATCCTCTTCGAGTTTTACAATTTCATTGGCTTCAGAAGTTGCCTCCGGTGAACGAGAACAAGGTATGGTACGATTCGCATTATCCGAACTGGGTAGCGCTCCACCGATCAGTGTCGATAATGCCCTTGGACTATCGGACGGTTTTAGGGATTGATAATTGACTTGCCTAGATTCATCTAACGTATCTGAAACATCTTGCGCTGCGGCAGCCACCACCTCCGTCAATGTTGTCAGCAGTGGGGATTCAACGGACACGATGGACGCGAGCATTTTGTTCATCTGGCCATAGGGGAAAACACTACCATTGCTATTAGCGCCATCACCACCGGTCGATCCCATATCTGAACAAGAGGCTCGATCAATTGGCTCCTCGAGAAAACGTCTTTTGCGCTCCGAGACCCAAGCAGTCTCGTCCTCGTCTAGCGTAGACGACGTCGACGATCGTTTTCGATTGGTTCCACCCACATCCGATATCGGACTACCACCACCAGATTGCGGTGCGACGGAACTATGAAAATCCAACGATTGTCGGGACGGCATATCCTCGTGCGGCATATCATCCGCGTCGCACGAGGATGGAGCTTCGCCCGGATTTGTGTTTGTGGTTGAGGCGGTGGAACGAGTGAGAGAACGAGTGCGAATCGATCGATTGTGTTGTTTCGGGGGACAAACCGAATCATTGAGAGCCGAGTGACATTCCATACTGAAGTGTAAAATGTCATTAGAACCCGAAATAGTTGTGTGCATGTGTGTGATCGAAACAGGCGCCAGTTATGCAAAAATTCTTAAAGTATCGAAAGGAGAAATAAACGTTGACAGTTGTGCTCTAAAGTAGTTCATCGGTAATCCAAATAGAAGCAGATTCAAGTAATGTAAATAAATTAAACCGAAATCACACGCTGCGCTGTCTGTCAAAAGTGATTGGATTTGAGTGTGCATGCATACGATAGCGATCGCTGTCCGAACGAGACCAAACGCGACGATATCAGTTTGTTTAGAGCAACAAAATCATTGATGGAAATATTTGTGGTGACAAACAAAGAGCACTGGACAGCTGTTTCGTCCTGTTTGTGACTCGTCAGCAGTGCGCACTTTTGCGTCCTTATGGGTGTGCTTAGAAATGCATTAACCATTTCCCAAGGAGTGAAACTTACACTCAATAGTGCCTGGTGCCTGTGAACAGACAACCGAAAGATCATACGATTTTAAATGGCACACAGCATGGCCTGTTTGGGCAAAGAAAAGACAACTGGGTTGACAAAGCAGGCAAGAAACTTAAAGCACGATCATAGGCTGATGAAAACGCCTGTTCAGATTCATGCGTATCGAAGAACCAGTTCAATCAAACAATTGGTTTGATATACATATAGGAAATTCGATGCCAATGGCGCATTTGGATACCACAATCTGATCACGAATGAAGTGGTATCAGAATCGCGGCGCGGAGGAAAAAAGGAACTGAAAAACAAGATGTATGTTGTGACAAACACTTGACTTAAAAAGAGCACCCGGTCCACTGACAATCGTAGATTGCAATAGAAAAAACTTGTGATATGAATGCTTGTCAATCTACCCCACGACCGCCTTTGTTATTACAAGACCAATTCGACCTGTAAGTAGTACTTCGTTTGACACGTGTACTCGATACTTACTTAGCGCGGAATAGACAAGTTCATCAAAAACCTAGGGCGGAAGCAGTACCGGTGAAGCCCCCTGTTTACATGCCAATAAGCGCAAAAGCTGAGTGAGACAGTATTCAGCGGGGTGCACAATCGTATGCTAATTACATTGTGCTCTCCAAAAGAAGGAGATAGTGTTGCAATAAAGGCCAATATGTGACTGGCGAATTTCAATATCCACCGGATTTGTCATGCAACAGTACATACTGGACTTATCATTCCGCGACATCCCAATATCCGATTCGTGTACGAACCAGTTTGATGAACGACAACCGTTGAATTTCGGCAGACAAACGAGCGATCTTGGTCAACCACAGACCACAAACATAATAAGACGGGAGGACTTTTTGTTTCAATTTGAGCAAACACGAAATCCCATCACGAAGCACATTGATTTGGTTTAATGGTTTGTGCACATATTTGATCCAACGATACAAACGATAGCGTTTATCAAACCAAATATCTGATTATGCCTAGAAATTCGAGGGCTGAAGCGCAGAATAAGTCCAGTTTCTTGATCTTCCAAGTTGGGAGTTGGACTAGAATTTACCTTTCAGTTGGTTAAAAATGGTGGAGGAGTAATTGATCAAAGTAGATGGGCCGGTACTTCGCTTAACTGGCTTGCTCGCGATTTAGTTCTTTACAGGTCTAAAGGCTTTGGGTGAGAACCCAAGTCGTTCTCCCACTTAGTAGCTAGACTCCGTAACAGTACCAGTCCCTTTTTTAAAATGGTTACATGCATTCAGTGCTGAGTGCCGGATGAATTCACGGGCAATAAACTCTATCATACAAAACCCATCCAATAATCCTTCAACCTACTATTTCTCTTCTGTTTTGTTCCCTCAATGTAAAAATATCGTAGCATTTAGTATACTAACATAGTGGCAAAATTTCTCAGAGCAATCAGTGCAAGAACACTAGGAGTGAGGATAGTGAGTGGATTTGGAAATTGGACCGACGAATCAACTCCGTGGATTGAATAAACCGAACCACAGGGTGAAGACTCACTTGTCAAGGGTATGCATTTCACGGTCATCAGGTCCGGGATCAGAGGGAGCAAAGGGAGATGTGCATTCTTTTCGATCCGCATCCATAGCCATTGATGGCAGGGTAGAATCGAAGCCAGATCGTGAACTGAGGACTGATGATAGCGGTGAACCCGATTCAACGACAGTGCCATTTATGGGGGCCCGAAAATCAACCGATCTTTGGCGTTTCTGATTCTCCTCGTATCGAGCAATCCTTAATAACGTGTCTTCGATGATCTGCCGATTTTTATCTAACGTGTACATGCGTTTTGTCAAGGCCAATCGCCGGTCAGGTACAACAGCCATCAAGCTGTACCGAACGTCTTGCTGTGAGAGGTAACCACGGAAACCAATGAGGACATTAAAAATATCACCAAAAAACCGTAAACGGTAAAAGCACTGATAATCTAAGAAAAGCTGGCATTGAAATGAGCGAAAAGCGAAAAACGATGTTAATTTTTGTGCTATGTGATCAGATTACGAAGTAAGCACATAAAAGAAAGAGAAACAGACCCACATTTGACGTGTTTAATAAAAATACTGATGGCAGCTTTTTTAATGTTCCACAATCGATCCAATTATTAGACCTTTAAAGACTTTGCACAACACAGAATGGCCCTCCATGGATAGCGCAATACAACTCAGATGGGAGGCAAAACTATCGACTTTTTATAATGATCACCGGCTGGACATACGGAAAATACAAAATCAGCTTGAATAATGTCCATGGCACTCGAATAGTGGCAGAAGCTGCCAGGAAGCGAAAAGATTCATACCAATCAAGATAGCATTTAAGTAGAGTTTCGAACTGACTTCAACTGATATAAATAAATGATATTAAATAACTGNNTTCCGTGGAGTGAGCTGTATCATAATGATGAGGAGGAGGAAAGGGTAAGCCCTTTCTTTGGCCCTGGAGACACAAAGTGTTTCCTCAAAAAGACACATTAAACTGGAAAAAAATTGATTTGCTTCTTGTTGGCAGTTCATCTGGGAGATTGCCAAAACCAACATTCCAAGAGAATGCTGTGATGAAGTTAGATGACGTAGCCGGTCCACGAACTCATTCAAGGTGGCAGTTGGGTATGTATTTTTGAAAACTGACACCAGAAATTCACCCAATCATCCAGGTGACAGGGAACTATC